GAAAAGTAAAAGCAAAGAATAGAAACTAAAAAAAGTAAAAGCAAATAAAATCTGAGAAAACAAAAACAAACCCAGGCTGGAACGCACCAAGCTTGCCGATGCGATCATGCGTTTTTGCACTAAACTTGTAATTCACTAAGAGCAGGGACCATCCCTGCGCTGTAGCCTAAGACGGGCTCATATTGGCCACGCTTCGGCCTCTTCCGACATGCAGGATGACGTCGGTTGCGACGAGGATGTTGCATTATAGGGACGCCTGAACCTCCAAGTACATGATCATCAATTTTCTGCGTGAAGCCCGGTTGCTTTTTCGGTAAATGCCCGCTTTTTGAAAAAATGAGAAACGAAAATTTGACTGAGAAGTGGAAGTGTTGCTAGAACGGTCGTTCGTCAAAAAAACCAAGTATGTAAATGAACTGGATGTTGGGAGGGGATGAGGGCAGTCGTTCGCCGCAAAATGTACTAGTTTCTGAATTTGCGATAAAGTTGAGTATTTCTTATAACCGCCTGCAGCGAATTTCACCTCCGAGTAAAATTAAGATCACGCATGAAAGTAGAATATCCCAGCGAAGTTTCAGCCTCGCAACTTACCCGATAAATGAAATAGCCACTTCGCTACTAATATCTTTGAAGTGCCCTAAGACGTAGCGCAAGTGCAAATCGGAACTCAGTTTAAGTATACGATTTCCCACATGGGCGATAAACATGCTGACGAAATTTCAGCTACTGTTTTCTGATTAGTTTTCGGGTTAGAACAGCACTAAGTGCAAACTTTGACGTGACCGTACGCGATGCACAAGCGTGCGCGACAGCTAAATTTGAAATCCTTAGCTCGCACATGCGCAGAGAATATCTCTGCAAAGTTTCAGCTTTTTGCCTGGTTCGGAAAATTGTATCCCGCCAAAGAAATATGCATATTTTTTTAGGGGGGTCCGCACGCGAGGTCTGGGGGCGTATGAGCGAAAATTTTAAAACGAGAGAATGACACGCGAGGTAGAAACATACACCCAGGATTTCAGTCTCCCAGCTTTCCTGGATACTGAGATAAAAGTGGGGTGACAAAGCTCACTCGCTTCCGAACACAC